CAATATTGTATATACATGATATTTTTAATATCTCTGTTTGCACAAATCAAATACTTCGACAATTTTATATATTAACAAATTTTAATCCGTATTATTTTGTATTACAAAAATAGGACAGAGTCGTATTAATATTATGTCAATTTGATATTTTTATATGTATACTATTTGTAATTATTATATTAATAGCGCCGATTATAAAGCATATTTAAAAATTACCTCATAATTCCATACATTTTCAGTTGTAATTTCTTATACGACGCAACTTATAGTTTTTTATACTAGAACATCACATGGTTGTATGGAGTTTGCATGTGATAATTTATAAATAGTATCTAAAGAAAAATGTTCAAAAATATATTTACACAAGAAATAAATAATCTGTCAAAATATTTTCTTTCATCAGTTGTGAATATTTTCATGACATGGTAAAGAATTAGATAACAGTAATATATATACACACATATGCACAGTATTATACTATATATGTGGTAATATATCTAAGAGTAGTATAGTATGTGTATATACTCATACATATACTCATACATACTGTATAAAAATATATATACAAACCATATGTTATATATAGTTTATAGTTATATATTTTATATACCAACTATATTAGGGAAATACAAAAATATATATATGTATCAAACATTAAATATATTCCTTGCAATGAATGTTATGGAAACTGCATCATGTTAATACCCAATTTCTTCACCTCTAGATAATTTTATCCATGAGATCTTTCAGATTTATAATGGAGTATCTCTTGGATAAAGTTATCCGCAATTTATCTGGAAATAAAGAAATTCGGCATAAATTCATTATTATTGTATACTAAGGCTGCATTCCACTCACAAAATCGTGAAATCATTTCATCCTTTATCAAATGTTAAACAAGGACAATATTAATGCTCGATTAATATCTCTACAGAAATCAAATATTTTGACAATTTTACATATTAACAAATTTTAATCTATATTATTGTATTGTATGTATTACAAAAAGCATTACGAGTGTTGAGTGGAACGCAGCCTAAGTATCATATGCCATAATAATAATTCACAACTAATCAAATTATCGTGATACAAATTATTGTATATAAATATGTTGTCTTTCTATTTCCATCTTGAGTCTCTGTATTTCCATCCTCAGTTGCGCATTCTCGTATTCGAGGAAACTCGTTCGGATTGCGAGTTCGTCTTCCTTAGCCCTTCGAGCATCTCTGGAACGCTTCGCTGCTTCATTATTTTTTTTTCTTCTTTCCCAATAAATAGCATCTTTCTCATCGACGGTACTAGTAGGCAATCCAGGACTGCTAATAGACCTAGATACTCGACGCATTTTAGGATTCGATGTATTTTTGTTCATTTTTTTTATGTTTTGAAGTATCATCTGACGGAATTTTGCATAATTCTCATTCGAATTATGGTCAATAGTGTTAACAACAGTCAAAAAATTGTTTGGATAGGCCTTGAAAGGTCTTGGCGTTTTTTTCTCCGAAGACGTTGATGATTTCATATCCGACGTCGAGCATTCTGCTGGCATTGAAACGATTCTTCTGATCTCATTATTCGTTATAAAAGATTGTGGTGTTTCTATATATGGTAAATATATTTTTGGTACGGAAATATTTGTGGCTTCGTTCGGGAATGCAAGTAGCGATGGCTGCTCGGGTGTTACCATTGTTACTCCTGGAATAATATTATGCGTACTTGTTAATGGCACAGTATGTTTCAATTGGTTACTATTTTCATGGTAGTCTATAGAATCAGTCTTCATCTCTTTCGGTGAGTTTGATTCGGAATATGGTGATAGCATGGCACTACTGCCCGCGATAGGAGTCTGTGTATTTTCATCTAGAAAATGTATCTCTTGATATTTTTGCTCCTTTGCTGAAGACAAAGTTTGCGATGAGCCAATGGGTTGAATTACTTCGGATAATGTAGACGTCACGTGCTTCTTGCGTGATAGATCCAGAACCAACATATTAAAGTCTGAGTTGTTTTTTTGCTCAAACGAATGTTCAAAACGACTTTCATTAGGTCCTTTGTAATAATTTTCCATCATCATCATTTATAATTAGCTGCAACAAGATACAAATTATTATTAATTATTAATTCATATATATTGCAAATATATTACGAGTATGTGCGACGAAAATTAAAGAATGTACACTCTAAAAAAATATTGAAAATTTTAAACAATCTTATATTAAACAATCTTATATTAGTATAAAATTTATCAAGTCTTTTTCAATAAAAAATTCTAATTAATTCTATAATAATTCTAATTATTACGCTAACGCAACTTTTCAGTTGTAGAGATATTTTCCGTACATTTTAAAATTTTGATTGTTCTTTAAATAAAGAAAAAATAATATAGATTTATTATACTCTTTATATTATTTTGTCAGCATAATGAAATATAACATTTATGTAATAGAAATGTAAAACTATTAAAAATTCAAACTTAATTCCATTCATCAAACGTAAAGTTCGAAAATTTCTACTTTGAACAGTTTAAGTTCTCATCCTTTTGAATTTGTATCTGAGATGTAATAAGAAATAATAAATAGATCAAGTAATTGTTATCTCAAAAATTTATGACTATAAATTCACAAAGCAACAACTATTTACTTATTTAGTTTCACACAATAAATTTGCACTGATAAGTTTATTGCTCGGAAATCTTGTGTGTGTGTCACATGCATTGGTAATATAATACATTTGCGCTTGATTTTCATTATTTTCATATAGCTATGACATAAGTGAACATACGACGGAATAAATATTTTTGTAAGAAAATCATATCACTTCCTATCGGCAATTCCTACTCAACCATTGCATTCAGGCTTTAATGACAATCATTAAGTACATTTTTTAAATTTAATTATAAAACAAAAGAGAATGTAAAAAAATGCAACTTAAAAATGTACGCATTATATAAGAGTAAGAGTTTCATACATACAGAAAAGTTTCTTTTAAAATTTACCCTGAAAATATAGTAGTTTTAGTACAATACAATATTTTAAAGATTTTTATCATGCATTTCAGTAAAATTAATTAAACTTATTTTATATTTTATTGTAATTTTATTAATGAAGGAGAGAGATTTAAAATTCTTCAAAATACAATGTTATCCCATGACTATCATATTTTCAGAGTAAACTCTAAGAAAAAATTCTTTCCATGTATAGAGCTCATATATAATCGTAAATAAGTCCATTAGATAAGTTATTCTCAAATAAATTTATATAATACAGATAGTTTTTATTCTTTCTTATATATTAGAGACAGATAGATGAAGAATTTATGTAATCCAGATAGTTTTTATTCTTTCTTATATTAGACAGATAGATTTGAAATTAATTGTAATTCTATACGTGTGTGTGTATGTGCGTGCGTGCGGCGTGCGTGTATGTGTGTGTGTGTGTGTGTGTGTGTGTGTGTGTGTGTGTGTGTGTGTGTGTGTGTACGTAAGACAATTATTTGCAAATATCTATGATTTCTTCTAACAAGAAGCTGTAGAGAATTATTGCATAAAGTTAGTAGCATATACTCTCACTCTCACTCGTAACAAAATTTTACGAGAAAGTATTACGAGTCTTATGCGATTCCACACTTAGAGAGAATTGATCAAATCTGAAATTATACTGGAGAATTTTGTCGACGGTGGTTTAAAAGTGAAAAAAGTATTTTCTTTGATAAAACATTTTAAAATAATGCAAATATTAAGAGACTTATGTAAGAAATATAAGGTCGTTTTTAGTTTTACAATCTTATAGCACAGTTTGATGGATAAATTAGACGATATGTAATATATAGTATACACAAGATTAAAAAAAATTTTGTTTTTCAAGCTTAAAAAATGCAAAAATATTATTCGACGGAATTCTGTCGCAATTTTGTAAATATACTTACCTAATAATCCAAGTTTAATCCAAGGTTACATTGAAACCACTGATAGCACAACACTGTCAATATGCTCGTTTTCTTATTATTATATTTGATTACCACGAACGCGTGATTACTTTAATGCGTATTTGTTTCGAACGTAGGAAAAGAGATGAACTGGATTTCCTATTCGAGATAAACTTTACTGGGCAAATTTCTATATCTATCTAGTCTCAGTCAGGGTTGGAGAAGCTTTATATAGCTACCCTTGTGAGGCCCCAAGCTTCTTTCTTAGGGAAAGTAGTGGGGAAACTATGCAACCTGTTGGTTGAACGTCGAAAAGGCACGTGTTCTTTTGAATTATAGGCAATCATAAGTGATTTCCAAAATAACACAAACCAAAGGGTGAAATAAGACACGATATAAAGATATATTTACATAGTTCCTTATTTTAGCATATTTTTTATTTTATAGTATATATTATTTATTTTATTCTAAAATCTTTGTATGTGTATATATACTTGCAATATACTTTTATTTTGTACAATTTTTATGTACTGAGAAACA